CTGCACGGGGCCGGGGCCGGGGCCGGGGCCGGGTGCAGTGCCCGCTTCCCTAGACCCACCGGGCTAACGGTTAGTTGGAGGCAGTAGATGCGTGAAGGAGGCAGGACGTTTCACTAAGTTGGCAACGCCAGGGTTAACTGAAAGTGAACTGGGGGACGGATGCTGCGAGGAGGCGATCCCATCACCCTGCCATCTCTCTTCACTGAGGGCTCAGACTCGGGGAGGTCCAGGTAGGCCCATCATTTAGGGATGGGAGAAGTCAGACGGGGAAGCCCCGGACCCCCACCCTAAGCCTTGCCCTCCCTCCAGCCAGAGCTATATGACAGTGCCCTGGCTTCATTTGACCAGGTGGCCAAAGGGAAGCCTAGGGTAATGCTCCAACTGGGAAAGGGGAGGTAGACTAAAGCAAGCAGGAATGAAGTTAGAGCAAAGGAACAGTGGATATTTTAAAGAAAAAAAAAATTGGTGCTGTTTCCTCTGCAGGAAAGACCTGGCTGCAGAGACTGTCTCCCCCAAGCAGAGGCTCTGCCTGGAAACCGTGCCAGGGGCCAGTGCTGGCTGGGACCGTGCCCACTTCTCCCAGGAGGACTGACTCCTGGTGCTGTCTCACAGTCAGCCCCCAGCCCACACGGAGGCTGTCCCCTTCCACTCCTCTTCCTTCTTCTTCTCACCACCCACCCACCCACTCACTCCGGCCTTGCTCCCTCTCAGAAACAGGTTCTTCTCCAATAATGAAAATTGCAATTAATGCGCTCATGTCCCCAAAGCAAACACATAACCCCAGCAGCCCCACATCCAACCTGTGACCATCTCCCTGACAATGACTGCTCCCCTGAAACACGAAAAGGAAATTAACTTCGTTCTAATTAGGTGAGTTTGCTACAGACACCCGTTTTCATCTCGGTTTCAGCAAGTGTGATCATCTCAACTATTTTTGTTTCTCACCACCCTCCCCCATCTCTACTCTACTAACAAGTCAAGATCCTGCCAAGATTTTCCTTGTAAATAAAACTGTCTGCTTAGGGTGTGATTTTGAAAACAGCCTTCGGGGGACAGAAGAGAGGCTGACTCCTTTGGGGAGTGAAGCCCCAAAAGAGGAGAGGCAGCTTGGGGCCCTGGTCCTGTCACTGCCTCCCCCCCACTTCCTGATATCATGTGCGTGACCCCTGGGGTGCTGGCTGGAGAAGTGGGCCAGGGGGTGGGTGGTTGCAGGGGAGGGGGAAGAAGGGCTCTGAGAGGGGTTGGTGTTCTGACCCCAGCTGCACTTTATTTTATTATTTTTAAAAATATATTTTAATTGATTTCAGAGAATAAGGGAGAGGGAGATATCAATTACCTGGTATAAGAGAGAATCACTGTTCAGCTGCCTCCTACCTGCCCCCACTGGGGATTGAGCCCGCTAACTGGGAATGTGCCCTGACCGGGAATCGCACCATGACCTCCTGGTTCATAGGTCAACGCTCAACCAGTGAGACACACCAGCTGGGCTATTATAGTCATTTATGAGGTTCCTTGTCATCATTACTATAAGCAATAACTACAATTCCCTAGTTGTATTTATGTTCAAATACACCGTAGCTTCATTATGTTGAGAATACAAGTTTAGCAGTCAGTCACTTTAACAAGTTGAAACCCAGTCTGCTATGTCAATAGGTGCTCCATCACTGTTACCTAGACGACACGGTGACCTGGAAGAGAACCAGCTTCCAGATGAGGATTACTGGTGCCCTCTTTCACTGTGGAACTCAGTGCCAGACCGGACAGGAGATTATACAGTCAGTCTAGGTCAGCGATGGCGAACCTTTTGAGCTCGGCGAGTCAGCATTTTGAAAAACCCTAACTTAACTCTGGTGCCGTGTCACATATAGAAATTTTTTGATCTTTGCCACCATAGTAAAACAAAGACTTATATTTTTGATATTTATATGCCATTTAACAAAGAAAAATCAACCAAAAAATGAGTTCGCGTGTCACCTCTGACACGCGTGTCATAGGTTCGCCATCACTGGTCTAGGTCTATGTGTGATCTGAGCCCTCTATCTACCTTCCTTCTCCAAAGTCCTGTAGGATCAATGAGCATCGGTGAGTACAGTCCCACATACAATTATCATACCCTTGCCTTATGCTACACTCCTCTTGCCTCAGGCTGTCCTTGGCCGGAGAGAATCATTGACTGGCTGCCTCCTGCATGCCCCCTGTTGAGGATCGAGCCCACAACCCGGGCATGTGCCCTTGACCAGAATCGAACCCGGGACCCTTTAGTCCGCAGGCTGATGTGCTATCCACTGAGCCAAACCAGCTAGGGCCCCAGCTGCCCTTTAGATTCTGCCTCTTCTCCAGCCCAGGGGCAGCTCTATCCACACCTCCCCTTCTGTCATCCCTCTGGTGGAGGGGACCTCAGCAGGCTCCGTCAGTCCCTGAACATGTACTGTGCTCCTACGAAGTCCCAGTGACAGAGCTTTGGGAATACAGAGGGGGATAAGGTCCGCATCCTGCCCTGCAGACACTGTTTAATCGGGGGTGACGGCCAGGAAAGCCCAGGCCTAGAGGAACCCAAAGGAGGGGGTCCCTGCAGGTCCAAGAAGGCTTCCTAAAGGATATGCCCCCAGAACCAGGCCAAGTGGGGAAGCTGGAGGGGAGGCATTCCAGGTAGAGAATGGCATGGGCAGAGGCTGGGCTTGTGCAGCAGGATGGGGTGAAGGGGGCTACAAGCAATTTGGCATGGCTAGTGGCTAGAAACTAGAGCAAGGCGCTCCATGGACAGAGCCCAGCCTGGAGGGGAGGGCTGGAAGAGTTTCATGAGCAGAGCTTGGACTTTACTCCAAGGGCAATGGGGAGCCATCGAAGGATTGTGAGCAAGAGAGTAATATTTAAGAAGATCCCTTGGGCTGTAGTGCAGGAGATAGAGAGGAGGGAGGCTGGCCTGAGCATAGGGAGATGGAGATGCCGTCCAAGTAAGAGATCACCAGGGCAGCAGCAGTTGGAATAAAGGAGTGAGGGAGGATCTGAGAAGCATCCAGGAGGCTATCTCGTAGGAATATCTCACCCCGCCTTGGCAGACAGTGTTTCCACCAGTCTCCTAGGAAAGAATTCCCAGCCTCTCACGGAAGCCTCTGTTCAGCAGACTACACCCCTTTCTCTGGCTCCTGCTGGGAGGAGGAGGCCATCTGGACTTGGAGACAGTTGTGATAGCCAACATCCTCCATGACCCTGAGGCCACACTCTCACCTTCTGCTTTCAGTGTCGCCTCAGCCTCTTCCCACCCTTCGGGCCCCTGGGGAATTTGCAGCACAACCCACTCCCTAGCAGGCAGTGGGGCCTGGGGCCTGGCACCCAAGTGGCCAGGCTGTCGGGTAGCTTTGGTCCCACTCCAACCTAAGACAACCTGCAGAC